CTACTGTTGGGCTCTATACCATAGACTGCTCTTTGGTTGCTGGATCGTACTTGTAGAACCAAGACTCGCCACCAGTAACAACTTAACAAAATTTGCTAGATTGGCCATAGTCGAATTTGCTCTGAAAAATTTAGCAAAATTCACTCGAGCCTCTCTTTGAGCCTCGTTTTAAATTCGTGGTGCCCAAAGAGCAGATTTCTTCGTGTATCCCAGATGATTACAGCCATGGCATTCAAGCCGAATTCATTAGCAGTCATTTCTTATGTCAATCGTCGGTCTTCGTCAATTTTTGGCTTCCCCAGAGCTACAGTGACGTCGTCAGTGGAAGATTTTGGTCGACCTTTTCGGGGCTGTTCCTTTACGGAAAAATGTCTGGTCTGGAATCTTCGGCACCACTTGGAAATAGTCCTTAAAGACGCTGCAATCGTTGCATATGCAATTTGGCATTCACTGAATATTTGTATTGGCTGTAAATTACGCCGAAACCCGAAAGGCATCACATGGCGACGTTCTGCTTGCGTTGGTGGTGGAATTTCGTCTGACCTACCCTCAGCTCTCTTGCGTTTTCTCGTCTCCATTTTAGCTGATCGTTATAAGATTTGAAAGAAGTAAATTAGATTTAACAAAAACAATTTGAAATTCACCAACTGACTGAACTTTTGTTAATCCCCTCGTGTTTGACGACTTTTTTCCAACAGTAGCGATCAACTTTAATGTGCTTGCTGATAAATAGTGATTTTCAAATATTTAATTGCCGGGTTCGTAGTTATTTTATTGAACTTTAATATCGGTTTAAAATATTTTGTTATATAAGGCTATCCATATTGCGATTTCGAAAGTTCTGTATTTAGCGTTGTAGATCCTTCTCAAATAGGCGGAGGTCTCTCAATATCAGTTGTGCCCTTTTGCAGCGGTTTGCATTTTCTCTGTTCAGATCTCCAGCTCTTATTACTTAAGTTGGTATCGAATGGCTTGGCGAGGATTTTGCGATTCTTCAGGAGCTTACAGTATGGTTCCGCACTAAATTACATATTAGTTTTTCGAAAATTCCGGTACTGGATTTTGGCTCTGCAAGCACTAAGCCCTCACTAATAAAGTCCTGTTAATTCGGTAACGATGGAGTACTTCATGCTGATTACTCGTAGGATCTTATCCTCCTCCGATTTGTGGTTTTGCGTCTTGATGTTTTTCCCACAAATTTGCGGACCTACAGTTTATGCAAAGCCGCCTCCTAACGGCAAATGGTTTTTTTTGTGAGGAGCCTTTGTTTCATATCAGAAATACACTCGGAGAGCTTGACATTTCCTGCCGAGGGAGGACCGCAATTAGAAAAATTAACTTATTTTTTTATTTTAAATTGATTTTCTATAATTTTTGGATGTTCGTCGGACAAGGACTCTAACCTTGGCCTTCCGAATGGGAGTACACAATACCAGCTAATGGACTATCGCGTTCGCCACGCTAATTGGTTCCGCCAGCAAAGTCGCGCTTCTTATGAATCGGGCAGAGCACACTCAAATTGCTGTTATCAGGCAATATAAACTCGTCTGACTATACTCGGTCTGGGAGGGTCACAAATTATTGATTTGATGCCTAATTTTGTGTCGAAGGTCTTGTGAGACCCAAGTATTACCAAGATTATGGCGACATGAGCAGAGTCAGGCTAAACTTTTTACGAAAAATCTATTTATTGGATGAGTGCATAAGTTCGTGCCCGATTCCGCTGGATGCCGTTCGAATCGTTTGAGAGTGGCGCTCGTGAAAGAAATATATACATGTTATATATCGTTAGAAAGGTGACAGTCCGAACTGTAAATCAAGCATAAAATAACTTCATTCTGAATTGAGTTGCTTAGTGAAAAGACGCATGGAAGATGGACAACGAAAAAGATCATATGCGTCATATTATGTTATACGAATTCCGCAAAGGAAAAACCGTAGGCGCTGCAACTAAAGATATTCTCGAAGTTTATTCGGACCATGCTCCAGCACTCCGCACAGTAAAGAAACGGTTCGCGAAATTTCGTTCTGGAGATAGAAAAACAGATTATTCGCTTGTTTCTAATGGTTTTAATTTATCTTCTTTTAGATTTAAGTAGAAGTTGCGAAACAAATTTTCATTCGCTTTACTCACACAATTTCCCAGCAATAAAATTTAAATTATGATGACGAAATTGCTTTCACTCACTCTCACATGCCTGCGAAGCACTCCAAATTGACATCAAATCGTTCTGTTGTAAAAAAAAAACGTAACGAAATTATGACATTTACAAACATACGTACATACATATATACACACATACATACATATATACATATATATAAAATATTTTCTTAACAGTTGACGCTTTCTTTCACATCTCCGCTCATCTCTCTTATGCTGACTTATTCATTTTCCCCAACACTTGATGGCGCAAATTGGCGCACATTCTGTTGACTGTTTCTTTTCACGGCCAAATGAGTGCAAGGGATTGAACTGAGTTGCTTCTATGCATATTTCCTTCAAGTGCTTCTTCGCTTTTTCCTTCTACACTTATATATACACGTATGTATGTATGTAACAGCATCACCATCTGTACTAAATTGTTGCACACACACACATATATATAAGCTTTGTTTATATGTATAAACTTAATTATGGCGTGAATCAAAGCATGCCGTGACGTCACTGATTAAATACAAAGGACGCCTGACGTGTGACGTCATAGCTGCGCTCAATCAACGCTTGCGTCTTTGTTGCTTGTATAGTGCAAACGAGTGCAAACTCTCGAAACGACAATCAATGACGTAGTCACCAATTATTATGTTTACTATCAGTAAATGGAAAAGCATGGAAAATACAATGCAAAGAATGAAGACAAAGAGAGCGGAAATGTGGGAAAGCATTCAATGCAACAAAGAAATTATGTGGGAGAATTTTCACAGCTGGGCAGTGATGATTGGTAAAAGCTTTTTGGGAAAAGTTTATCTCGACCGATGAGCATTTGCTCTGAGCATTTTTGCTCCTGCGCACTCGCTGTCGGGCAAAGTTGCCATTTTATGAGTGGAAAATTTATATTTTTGTGTAAATTTTGTGGTGAAAGAGTGAAATAGTTCGTAAGAAGACCTGTAATGATCCCATAGGAATCTATAATTTAATTGTCACGGATTTATCTGCGACTATTTTGGAGGCCACGCCACAGGCCCGTGACGAAAATTAGTGCACTCACCAAAAGTTTCCAACAAACAATTTATTATTCTCATTGGTTAGATGGCATATAGAGTCGTGATCCATATCAACATTTTCCAATTCGGGAACGAAATATGAACCATAGAGCACACCAAAAAGTGACTTTTTAAAGATGTACCGACGCGGACGGGCACAGTTCCACTGGTCTTCTTCGATACTTCGTTCTATCGCGGCAATATCATCTCTGCTTTGCACTTTACGGCATCCCTGAGGATGCACCATAACTGTACGATGCTAAATACGGAGATCGGTTATGAATAGACAGTCTGTTGTATGGGAGGACTTATGTATGCCAAGCAATTTTGGTAGGTTTGTATTCTTCAGATAGCGTCCTTACGCAATCCCATGACGATGATGCCAAGCCCATCAGCATTATAAGTATAAAATACTATCGAAACCTGGATATCGAAGTGTTCCTGAGCTATAGTTTTCGACTCAAAATTGGGTTGCGCCACGTTCACCCGACATTTTTTTTCACCCTTCAAATTTTTCCAGTTAAAGGGATCGCCCCTCACATACATGACCTTCATTACAAATTTAGTTACTGAATTATCGCGACTTTTGTACTTTCCAAAAATATCTATATATGAAAATACAGACAGACAGACAGCTTGGAAAATGCGAACCAACCAGGTTATACGTTTTCAAGGAATTCCATTGAAAATACAATAATGTGTGCTTAAGAGTTATAGAGTATAAGGTACTATCTCGCTCAGAAGAATCTCAATGACACATATGATATTACTTGCCTCAAGTATCGCTCTTAAGCTTTGCTCGATGAACAAAATTTAAGTTCTTTAAGAAGAACGATTACTTGGGCGAGATATAAAGGCCATTGGCAAAAAAGAAGATGATAACGAAAAAGAAGAATAAGAACAAGAAGAAAAATGGAAAGGGAAGAAAAAGAAGGAAAAAAAGAAGAAGAGAAGAAGAAAAGGAAGGAAAAGAAGAAGAAAAAGTAGAAGAAAGAGAAGAAGAAGAAAAGAAGAAGATAAAAAAGAAGAGAAAGAAGAAGATAAAAAAGAAGAAAAAGAAGAAGATAAAAAAGAAGAAAAAGAAGAAGATAAAAAAAGAAGAAAAAGAAGAAGGTAAAAAAGAAGAAGAAGATAAAAAAGACGAAAAAGAAATAACAAGAAAAATGAAGAAGAAGAACAGGAAAGGTGTAAGGAGAAAAAGCTTATGAAAAACAGGAAAAAAGAGGGCTGAGAAAAAGATGAAGAATATAAAAAACAGGAACAAATGAAAGAATAAGAAGAACACGTGGAATAATAATAATTAAAAGAAGAATAATAATACTAAAGAAGAAGAATAATTAGAAGAAAAAGAACAAGTAGAAGAAGAAGAATGAGAATAAGACGAAGAATAAGAAGAAGAAGAACGACAACAAGGAGAATAATAGGAGAATAATGGAAGAAGAAGAATTAATTGATTACGACCTTATATTATTCCAAAGAAGAATAATAAAGGAATTATCCCTCATTTTATTTCACAAAAGCAAAGAAGATGAAGAAGAAGAAGGATTTGTGGTTTTAAATAAAAAAAGCTTAAGCTCTACATCGCCTTAAAATCTCTTTGAATTACAGTTTCAGATACGCAATATTTTTCTAGAATTAATTAATTAAAATTTTTGATGTGATAATAATTTATTCGTTTGTAAAATGTATATTTAAAACCTTTGGACTTGCGCCTAAAAGTAGGCGTCATCATACAACCCGATTTATTAGAATATTTATTAATGATTTTATATTACCTTCATTTATTTCAAATGAAATATGCTTCAAAAAAAAATTTTTTTTTAATCACTTGGCAATCCTGCACATTGCTAGCGAAAAGCTTTTTACCGCCAACAAAGTGAAGACGAATAAAAGCAAGTATCATTCGGCCGAAAGCAAACAGTTGCCAGCAAAATCGAAGGGAATCTAGTCGTTGGAATTAATAACAAATAACAGTAGAGCAGCAGCAACGGTGGCAGTAAGAACAGTTATTGTGGCATAAAGGTAGTGCGTTTGCGGTTGAGCTATACATTTATGTATATACATATATTAACTTATGAACATACATATATATTTACAATATTCTGCAGAAGTGCGTTTGAGTGTCGTTTAATTTTTTCAATCTCCACGAGTGCGTATGCGGGTATGCTGCGTGTGTGTATATGTGCTGGAATCCACTAAAATGCCAGCATTTGTTAGACAACACTTTGGGTCATTTATGTCACTTTTATGAAATGGAATAGATACAAAAATAAGTTGTGTGCATTGTAGGTGTAAGAAATGTATGGCAGTGAAAAGTCGACGCGTAGAAAATATTAAAAAAAAATAAATAAATAAATAAGAGAATTGTGAATAAATTTGGAGATGCTGCAATATTTTTATATTCAATAAACCGAAATAAAAATTCTTGAAGCACTATCCACTAATAACAACTGTGCATAATTTACTAAAAAGTAAATAAAAAAAATTATAAATTCTATGTGAAAAATTTATCACGTAGTGAGTGAGATGACAACAAATATTTTTACAAACAGATTGTAAATAAAAGCAGAAATGCGTATAAATTGGCAATAAACAAATTCAAAGTGAATACGCAAAATGTCCTTCAAAAATCTGCAGGAAACGTAGATAGAAAGGAGAAAGGTTTCTGCGCCCACGCACATCAGCCAAGCAGCGAGGCAGCAGCAGCAGCAACACTAAAAAGCGCTAAACACCAATAACAGAAGTAGAAAAGGAAAAAAAGAAATAAGAAAAGAAAAAAACTGGTGCTAAAGCTACTGAGGATATTGAGGAATCTAAAGACGTAATTAGAATAATTCCTGTTTAGTATTTTGAACTTTTTTTTGGTTTTTTGTGTGTGAATTATGAATAGGTTTTCAAATTTAAAATTTTTATTTTTATTTTTATGGCTTAAACTTTTTCAGTTTTGAGCTTAAAATTAATTAATTTTAATTAATTTAAAAAAAATTATTATATTTTAACCATGCTTTAATTTTTTAAAAAATTTTTTCGTTATAATGTATAAATTGTGAGATTTTAAAATTTACGAGATGTAATCTGAAATGGAAACTTAAATTATTCAGACTCTGTGACGGAGGTTTAGGCACTCATATGTAAGTAAAAGCAAGTATCATTCGGCCAGTCAGTCTCTCCTATAACGCAAAACTCAGCGATTTGTCATTTGCATATTACGAAACTAACGGTATATCGAGCTTATATGAATCCTTCTAAAAAATTGTTCATATCTATGTTTGTGTGTATGTTTGCATATTCCCCACAGTCCAATCGGCTTTGGTCTTTGTGGTAAATTTTATTTTTATTCCCATTTGTATGTGGAAAAAATACTAAAGAGCGTGCAAAAATAAATGGAGGCAAATGAAAATATAAAATCCCATATATACCCACACTATAAGCTGCGGTCGTTACGCGTGCCATAGGCGTTTGGAGGCGTAAATCCAGTAAATTACGTAGGTGTATGCGTAAGTGCCTAGGAATTACTTACTTATACAGGTAAAACTCCTACATTTACATGGGCAACCAATTTGGAACAAAATAATAAATATATTTATATATACATATGTACATATCTACTTACAGTGATAATTTGCTATACCGCATTTTCACACTTTTTTTCCGACACACTGTATGAAATGAATGTTGCTTAAAATTGTACAAAATTATTATTGAAACCAAAAAAAAAAAAAAATTTACACGACAAGCGAACAGAAGGACGTAAAATTCAAAAGAGAAATTTAATGTATCTTTTTTTATAAAAATAATTATTGCTGTTTTCATGTTTGTTCTCTAGCATCTCCGAAACTAGCCGACTAATTATGCTGAAAGTTTTTCTGTCTGCCTCTTTGGATTGTCAGAAAAACAGCGCAAAAAAGCGGTCTTCGGCCTTGCCGTAGTGTTACATGACCACCTCAATTTTGTATTATTTCATTTAAGGATGAAATACCAATTCTCATATCTGAAAACCCCTTCGGAAGAGGTTTTATGATTTCCACTAAAAATCAACGAAATCGGACCTTAGATATAAGGTTTTGTGCCAAAAAAAAAAACATCAAAAGTGCATGTAAATTTATAAAATTTTGTACTATAGGCACGTAAATACAAATAAGAATTAAAACCGAAATTCGTCGAAATCGGATGACTACATCATATAGCTGCCATACAACCGATTTATTCAGATATGAGATTTTCGGGTCAAAACACCATCAAAAAGTGCATCTAAATGCACGAAATTGCGTATGCTATACACGTTTATATAAGAAAATATTATAACTGAAAATCAACGAAATCGGATGACTATATCATATAGCTCCCATACAACCGATTTGCTCGGAAATGAGGTTTTGGGTGAAAAATCCGGAAAAAGGCATCTTAAAGCTCAAAGCTGCGCATTCTACAAACTCTTATACAAAAATCCGAAAATCATCGAATTCGTAAAACGTCTTCAAAAAACCCCCTTCCACCAGTTATTTAGATATGAGCATTAATATTTAGCCTTGAAATGAAATACCATAAAATTAATACATTCATGTGGGGTATAAAGACTACGAAATTGCCGATGACAGCTCTTCATTATTGTTTTTATTAATTTTCTTATATCCTCGACAATACATATATACTCGTAATATGCATAATATAAATGCTTGCCATTTATGAATATGAAATATATATGTATGTATATTTTAGAGACAAGTACGCCACGTTGATGGCAGCAGGTGGCAGCTTCACTGCTTACGTGAGACACACATATGCACATATGAGCTACATATGAGTGAACATATGCATGAATTTTGATAAATTCAAATGCAAAACATAATTACATACATACACGTATGTAGATATACACATTGGTGTAAGCATGCATGTGCTTTAATGAAAGGATGTAGCAAAATATAAGACAATATGCTATACATGCTCACGTCCACGCCTACTTGTGCTTATTGTTCTAAAACAAAAAAAGAGCTGAAACAAAAAAGCGCTGCTCAACACAGAATGCCACAGCCAGTCAGCCCAACCAAGCCCTTCTAACTAGTTTTCATAAGGCTAAAGTGAGCAATTGTCTGCAGGCGCTCATTTGCTTGATGCAAATGTACGTGTGTTTGTGATATGTGAGGGTGTGTGTGTGTGTGTTAGTGTCTGACTTGTGTAAAAGAAAATAAACACTGTGAGCATGTAACACTATAATTCTGCGACACTTATATATATATATATATATATGTATGTATATACAGCGCATATATATGTATGTACTCGTAAGTTGTATGTAATGAAGACACTCAAACAAGCAGCTCACACCTTTTGCAGTCTCAGTCACAGTGGAACACCACCAAACAGCCAAACAGTCAAAGAGCTTGTTAAGCACTTATTGCATTTAATTTGTTTATGGTCTTGCGACCTCATTAAATATTGATTTCCACTAAGATGCATACGTGTATATGTATGTATATATTTTAAATATATATACATATGGGTGTTTGTATTACATTTATGGTATATATATGTACGTAGGTGCATGCAATGGTTTACTTACAAATAAAAACAGTTTGTTAGTATGTGTAACCACATTCATCTGTGTGTGTTTTTTTTTTTTTTTTTTTTTTTTTTTTTTTTTTTTTTTTTTTTTTTTTTTTTTTTTTTTTTNCGAAATAAACAGGAACGGGTATACCCTCGGAAGTCATGATCCTACCCCAGTTCCCTGAGGCCTGTCCTTCGCTTTACCAGTCCCGGGAAACACGGACGGACTGGCGCTCGCCCGGGGCAACGCCGGCTACTACTCCTGCGTCCAATACACACTCCCTGACCAAGGACCGAAATGGCTGTTTACTGATACACACCGCGGCTGACACCTCGGCAGAGCAAAGCTCACATCACCCTTTCCATTCCATCAGCGGAGACGTCGCTGTGGAAATTTCCAGGGACTCCCAATGCGCCGCGTTGTGTACCGGTCAATTTGTTTTATCAGCCGCACCTAACATGGTGAACAGACGCTGACCAGGAGAGCCGCCCATTATGGGTCCGCCGCGCCTGGATTTTGTATACTTCAACACCTATTTGCAAGAGGCGGCGTCGATTCGCCACTGTCACAGAAGTATCATCGGACTCAACGGCTTTTATACCGCATATTCCGCTCCTGTCGCTCATCGTCGGGGATTGCTTATTCGTCTAAACTTATTTCGCAACTAACCTGTTACTACAGGCCGTCCGGCTATCCGCGACCTGCCGACCCCCCCGGTAGCTTTGAGCTAAGCTATGGTAACTATCCCACCGGGTCATCTGTGTGTCTGTGTGTGTGTGTGTGTATGTATGTGTGTGTGCGTGTGAAAACACGAACATCCGAAAAATAGACTTTGACTGCATGCAACCGTTACATATTTGCGCATACAACGTTGCTTTATGCATAAGTGCATATGTTTGTATGTACAGTCAACTATTTGATCATATCTGGGCAGCAGAAAGAGATTTTTGCTTGAAACTTTTTTATGGTACTCCAATTTTATTTCATGTACAATACAATTAATGGCAATAAAGTAAAAGTTAGAAAAGTTAGTTTCTTAGAATTGTTAAAAATATCTCTGCTGTACATCTGTTCATTTGGTTGGCATAAACGATTTTGGTTACTCAATATTTAATATGAACCTCTTTTGCTTTGATCACTGCCTGAATTCGTTTGGACATAAACTGGACAGACTTCCTGCAGAAATCGCCGCTAATATTTTGCCAGTCATTTTGAGTCTTCTGCCATAAATCATTAAGATTCTGACGCTCTTCTAAGTAAATCAGAAATCGCACGCTTGAGCTCAACCCAAGCATGTGCGATTGGGTTGAGGTCTGGCGTATGAGAGGTCCAGTCGAGTACTTCAAAGCTGTTACTTTGCTTGTTGGAAGATGGCCTGCGACACATTCTTACCCCTTTCTACTAGGCTTCTGCACAAATCTTCTTGAAGAATATCAACATTTTAGTTGGCATCCATTCGCCCGTTAACCCTCCACTCTCATACATCCCCATATCACTACATTATGCTCTCCAAACTTCAATGTTGGTTGAACAATGCGGCTAGTCAACGGTTCACAATGTTATCTACATATCTATTGCCGCCCATTTTTTCTCAGGCGGTTTATTTCTGTTTCATCGGATTCAGTCATTTTGGATGTAGGCTTTATAATTTTTTGCAAATTGGAGCCTCAATTTACAGTGTCATTTTGTTAAAGGTGTTTTTTTAGTTTTCCTGAATGCTTCCTATGTTACGTTTATTCCAACTCCGTGGAAGAGCTTATACCTTATGTGGCCCGCACTTTCATACACACCAAACTTTATCTGCCTAACAGTGGGACTTTCCAGTGTGGCATTCAAAATTGGCATACGCCCAGGTTTTTTTTTTTATTAAAGGGCTTATGACTTAAAACTATATCCAAAGAACCACCAGGGAGTAGTGGAACTTCTCTGTGTTTTATTTTGAAATCTATATTTTTGTTGTATTTGGTTTTTTCATCTATGCTGAAGCCCAATTTAATAAAAAAAAATTACAAATAGTAGAAAATACTGAAGTTTTACTAAAAATTTGATTGTAACGATTTCACCACTATTAATTATAAAATTATAGAATAAACCTTACCCAGGGTTAGGGGTTCAAGAAATTACCCGCAGTAAGGGATGCCTGTCATAAGAGGCGACTAAAATCCAAAAGCTCCCGCGACAGTCGGGTCTTTATATCGGAACGACCCGAATTTTTATACGCCCAAGAACTGTCATTCCCGTAACACTAGAGAGAATTTTTTTGTGGTTACAAC